TTGATTGTGACTGCGTCATTTTCAATGATTATCTACTTACTGATATCGTGGGTTCCGAGGCCCCCATCCGACGACAAGCACGGATCCTAATATTAGTCTCTCTGAGTTTATTCACGATGTCGTCATACCACTCAGTGGTAAGCACAAGAGTGTAACACAACCAGCGGAGTTATGAATTTCCCGGAAGAGTAGCGATTGTGATTGTACCATTGTAAAGCGATTTTTAATCCTTGAAAATACGATAGCAGAGAAAAACGATTTTTTTGGGCTTGCATACGCCATTCTGTGGGTTTTTTCGACTGCTTTCCCCACGCAAGACGGTTTGTATCAATACAAAGTGCCATCAATGGGCCTTAGTAGTGCCCCAGCAGCTTGGTATAAATTTATTACTCCATCGTTATCAGATCTCGAAGGATGTGTTGTGCGTATGGATGATATTTGTGTCTTTGGTAGTGACCCCACCGAACATCAGGAAAACCCTCATAATGTGCTGCATAGACTGAATGAACTAAATCTCCGCCTGAATACCAGCAAATGCCAATTCGCTGTAACAGGGGTCGACTTTATTGGACATGTTATTTCTACTTCGCGTAATAAGCCTAATGTGCAGACCACAAGAGTCATACTCGATTGCCCAAAACCATGCAATGTTACACAGATGAAAAATTTCTTAGGTTTGTGTTCTTATTACCTTCGACATTTACCGAATTTTGTGACTATTGCTGAGCCGTTACGGAGGCTGACACACCAAAACAAAGATTTTCTTTGGGCCACTAAACGAGACAATGCTTACATGAGCATACGGGCGATGATTGAATCTACTCCCACGGTAGCGACCTTCAACGAGCATTGTTCAACGTTTATTTCAACGGATGCTTCAGATGTTGGCTTGGGTGCATTTCTGTCCCAGCTGAACGATGGCGAGGAGAAAGTGATTGCGTACGCATCACTTACCTTGTCTGATAGTGAAAGAAATTATTCCACCGGCGAGAAGGAAGCCGTCGCATGCGTCTGGGCATGTGAGAAATGGCGTTTTTACTTATTCGGATGTCGATTCACTTTGTGCACCGATCATTCTGCTCTTACAACCTTACTAATTCGCGGTACCAAAGGCCAAAAGCCGGTACGCTTGAGTCGCTGATACTCACGTTTATGGAACTATGATTATGAAATAAAATACGTGCCAGCGTGCTTTAACCAACTTGCAGATGCCCTGTCGAGATTCCCACTGTAAAATGAAGGGTAAAACGAGAACTTAGAGGACGTAAAAATGATATCGAAGATCTCAGATGGAACACCTACAATAACTGACAAAGACCCTGTCCTGGCGAAACTTCGGGAGTACATATCCACTTCATGGTCCAGTCGTACCAAGATCCAACTTGAGTTACTTCCATGTTATACCCTACGGCACGAGCTTTCTACTGTGAGCAACTGCCTTATTAGAGGCGATCAGTTTGTGGTCCCTGCAACCCTTATTTCTCTGGTGGTTGCATGTGCGCATGAAGGTCATCCAGGGGATTGTGTGAACAAAAGCTCGGATACGACAATACGATCGGTGGTCGAAGTTGAATTCCAGCGTCGAGGCGGTTATTCGGGGATGTTACGCCTGTCAACAATAAGATAAGAGTGCAACATCCCTGAATGCTCCAGTCCAACCTATCATGTACCCAATGAAGTCATGGGCAAAAATTGCCATCGATATTATGGGCCCGTTTGCCAATGCACCCCCGCAAAAGCGAGACGTGCTAGTGGCTACATATTTCCACAGCAAATGGCCAGAGGCCATTCTATGCGGGGACGTAACTACAGCCGTCATCATAAAGTGACTCCGTTGTTTGTTTTCAAAGTACAGTTTGCCAGAAGAAATAGTCACTGCTAACGGCCCACAGTTTCGAATTAACGAGTATGCTGAATTCCTAAGGCGCAATGGTGGCAGACACACGAGGACTGTACCTTATAATCCTGCAGCGAATGGATTCGTCGAACGACTTAATGGTACTTTGAAAGAATCTCTACAAATCCTTCGGCTTTCGGGAAAATCCTGGGATGATGCGTTGGTATCTGCATTAGAGATACACAGAACCACTACACATACTGCAACGGCAACGACCCCCTCGTAACTAATGCTGGGGTGAACAATTCGAACTCGATTAAATTCAGCCTTTAAATCCGAAGAAACCGCCGATCACAGAGAATACCAGGCTAAATACAGACGCGTTGGGAGAACGTATCTTCCAGGGACATTTGTTCGTGTGAGACTACCCTATTCGCGGAAAGGACGTAGTGTTTGGACCGCCGACCCGTGTGGAATCTGTGTGCACGTCAGGAACATACAAGTTGGCCTATGGGACAAAGGTGAATGCAAGACGGCTGCATACAGCGCTTTCCCAACGTGTTATTGAACAGACGAACACACCTACAACACAGCGCTCGGTACAAACTAATACAAACTTACGACGTTCCGGTCGGATACACCGCCCTGTCTACCGATACGCTTTAACGGATAACACCACATGACAATTCTTCGGGGTGCTGATATTAAATTAGATCGTTCATGGACATGTAGTGCCTATATTTTTACGAACAGAGGAGGGGACAATGTCATGTTCAAATACTTTGCTTTGTTTTTGCCCTCAATTCGCTTATCCTACTCACATTTCTACTCAGCACTCGCTGGCCAATCATGTGATCTTGCCTTTGATTGGCTGCAATTCGAACCTCTATCGAGTTAATTGTACTGCGCATGTGTGCGCAGTTTTCTCCATACATACGTTCCAGTGCTGATCTGGTCCGCTGCTTTTTCGGGGCACAACAAACACATTCGTTGCGACACGGCTTCCAGACTGTCAGTTGTAAATTGGAGCTGCCGAAGCTAAACAACCGGCCTCCAACCATCTTATTCACAAGTGAAAAGAGGCGATGGTGACCCAATCGTTGCTGGCTTGACCGCTTTACTCCGTACCACAAGGTGCACGAAAGCTATCGGTCACCGTCGCTATCACTCGAAGGTTGCAGAAGGGAGTGATACAATTATTGAAACTTCGAACCTATCGGAATTGCTTTCATGCCGGTCTGGTCGCTCGCTAGTTTTTGAGAGTGCAATCAGCGAAAGTCTGGCTGACTTCTGCTATGGTAGGGGATGCAGTCACTGCATATTCGCCATGTATTTGAGTGCAGCCACATACAAACGATTTATCACGATACTCTTCTTAATATGAAGACCAATCCGGAAGCAAACCTGTTAATGGTGCCGCCCGTCCCCGGTGTGAGGGTCTATGGGAAGCGGCCACCTTCGTGAGCTCTGCACGAGGAGTCAGATTAACCATAGTCGCCTTCTTTTCTGTCTTTCTCTCACTTTGATCGAAACGATCGTTTTCTAGCCACCTCATCATCTGAAGCGGAGATCGGAACGCGAGACTAACCAAAGAATGTTGCACATGTGAACAGCAACAGGTAGGTTGCAGAACAACTTCGGCTCGGTAACCAAATATGATCAATGTACAGAAGTGGAATGAATTGTTTTTGACTCGTACTCGTTATACTAGTAATCAAGGGTGAGCAGAATGAGAAAGGAACATAAAGCGAAGATATAAACAGAAATGAATCGGACGAATACAGGGCCATTATCGAGTTCCCTAACGACCAAAATGGCTGATCTCGAGGTCTACATCCCGAGAGACGATGAAGTGCACCACACCAAATGAGTTGTTCCGCCAGTTCCATTATACGCTTTTGTCACATTGTCAAAAAGGCCATCATCATAGTACTTCGTCTAACCACGCAGGGCGTTGGCAAACAGCATGCGTCAGGGTGGACACTTCGCAGGCATGTGAAAAACACGAGATTATCCGATGCAACCCTGGAGAGCCATTTGCAGGGGTCAGCTGATAGGCTGCTACCAAGTATGGGAGAATTGCCTTGCAAGCAGTGGTGAAAAACCAGATGCAGAGCGCTACAGAGGTTGGCGCTAGTTTTGTGTCCTCAGTGTGCAAGATGCCGACGCAGGATTTTGCAATCATTTGAGTTAGCAGCTCGGCACACATTTATGTCACTTCTAGAAGGTAAATCACTGAGTTGGTTGCTGTGCGGGTTGTGTGGTTAGTGAAAGCGTCATTCACATGCGGGAGCTGCGACCCAGCATAGGGTTACAACGCTTTAGTTCGAATGGTATGGATGTGCGAGTTAGGAGCGCACGCAATGCCATGCTTGCATGCGGTGAGACCGGTGAATGAGTTATGGATCGCCTACCTACTTCTCGGTGCTCCACTAAACCAACTACGCTAGACTGATCAGTTTCCGCACATGCACTGAATTCCCAACTTTGCGTGTGCTCGCCGATATGGTGCTAATTTGGGTGCCGCCTCAGGATATTCAGTCGACAACGCCGCGGAAGATTTAACAGCGTTAATGCGTATCGTCCTCCTGGATGTTGGCCTCGGGGGTGTCCACATCACTTAGCAGAACCCCCACAAAATATACTACAGCTGCTGATCACTGTAGTACTGAATATAAAAAATGAGCAACTAACCAAACTGCGAGTGCCTTATGATATATACGGAATACATAAGTCTTGGTTGTCATCGTAAGTGCTGAGCGCATTTCGAAATAGATGGGAGGAAATACGGTCGTTATCAGACAATTGTACAGTGGATGACACATAAATCGATAAAAAAACGTACCGATGTGTCTTCACAAACCAACCAAAGAACGTCAAAACTGGGAGCTTCGGTTTCACTGACACCAGCCCTTTTTGATACGGCAGTTGACATCCACACGACCGAATGATCAGGGAAGCATCGCAAGGGTTGTAGTGGTGTAAGGTTATGATGAAGCTCGTCCTTCACGGCACCGGCCTGGAAAAGCGACTCTTGGATCACATGAAAAGCCCATGCACGCAAAACCATCGTGTCCGTAGCGAAGTGGCGAGATGCACGTTCGGCGAAGATATAGGAATAGGGTCTGCGGAGGTGATAAAAGGTGATGAGACAATAGAATTAGTTCGATAACTAACGAATGTGTTTAAGACGGAGCTATCAATAGATACTATACGGTCATTTGATTTGTGGACCCTGTTACAAGCGCAACCGGTTGTCTCAGGCGAGCCTCTATTAATGGCGACATTGATGTCCCTTTAAAATAATTGAGAATACTCCTAACCCGGGATGTGGGTGTGGATTTTGCGGTCGCCAAACTGACGATATTGTCTAGCCTGGCAACGAAACTTATGCAAGCCGATCGGTCAGCTCGGAGCACGACGTCAAGTCCACAATAATGTGTGTTCTCAACCCAGTAGACAGTGACCTTGAGGGTTCCCTCTGATGTGCAACCGAAGCCGCATTAGCGCATGAGCGGAATTTGGACGGTTACTTTGACTAGACTATTTGATTGTCTTTCAGAGCCCCGCTCCTGTTCAATCGTGGAATCGTGGAACAAGAAACCGAGTATGATGTTTAACCTGGTTACGCGTTACGCAAGGGATGTTCCTGACGTATCTTTGGTGCTCTTTCTGGGTTTAATGTTACTTACGTACAGATATGAGGTGAATCTCAAAGTAGCGTCATTGTGCAACCATTTGGATATGAAAATGTTCTCACTGTACGCCAGAAGATTCTAATGCTTGAGCAACTACGTAACAGTGGACCATAATTTGTGGGAGATGCACGTAGATGTCAATCCGTTTTGAACCGTTTTCGGGTAGGCTCGCGTATTCGACAAGTCACTCATAGAAAGTAAAGTCGTGTGCGAGCGGCGGACGCTGCTGACCCGCAATTTGTCTGGTCACGACTATGGATCCCGCAGCAGCTGAAGCCGATACGAGTCGAAAAGGAACACTAGGCGTTTTTCGGATATAGGACGCCTGTGAATACGAAGAAGCCAGCTGTGACAAATTCATTAATGATGTGGGTTTACTAGTCCACTGATCCGCAGCCCGCTAAGCTCAAACTGACTACTGCCTCTAGATCCAATGATGGTAAAGCCCGAGGCACTTCGTAGACAGTGAGAAGGTATCAGGGGTACATGCATGCAGTAACAATGTTCATGTTGTTCGTAACTTACTGAGGATTGATCACACAATTTTACCTATAACCAGTTGAAAACTCGCACGGGATACCATCATTTAGCTAAATATTTGCCCGCCAACATCGGGCGATGGACCGAGATGGATTTTCTGTTCAACTAACATACGCAGCCGTTCATGCAGTTTAAAATCTCAGCCCAAAATTGGAAGAAGCAGAATATCTCCGGTAACCTTGAGCTTCGGGCAATTCACGCGCACACGTTAATGCATGAAGTTGAAAGAATGGGTATACTTACTCGTTAAGCCGTTCCAATGCTACAGCGGTGTATGCAAAATCACCGCTGCGTAACAACCCAGTGCCAGTTCGAGCGATGAACTCTGCCATCCCGGCGACAGGTTTGACCACGGCCCCAATCAGACCGCGTCCCAGTCCACCTAAAGCGGTCCAAACGATTCCGGGCTGCAAAATATTAGAACATTCGTTGATTGACTTGTTTCCTTGCTCCGGGCCATCCAGTGCTTGAAAAAAGACCTGCAGTGGGTGGTCCGCAACTCCGGCAACGGCGCTCAACAAACACAAACCAAGGCCACTGAGTCCCTGCTGAACACCCTCAGTGAAACCGCGGGGTAATTGTTTACGGCGTGCGTATTCTTGTCGCTCCCGGTGTTGAGCATCCAAGGATAGATAGTCCAGGTTACGCGCGATACTAGCCGCTGCGCCAGTGAGAGAACGTAGCAGTCCGCTAGAAAACAGCAAACCACGTGCAGCAAGTTCGACAGAGCAACAACGCAACAGCAACACTGTTTGATATACAATAGAAAATAGTGGTCAAACGTAAAAGGAGACGCAATGTGCACAGCATCCAGCTGAAAAAAGAAGCAATGAAGAAGAAAAAGGGAAGAAAAGCCCCATCGCGGTGAGTGACTGTCACGTAGCTACTTGAGTATCGATTCGTGAACACAAGCACTCACATGAGCTGTTGACAATGACCTTGCCTTACTTTCTTTATTTCATTAGTTTTTCTTTCCGGGTTTTCTAGCCACTGTAACGCAGGAAGTTTTTAGTAAATCGGTTTCATACCACACGAGCGCGTCCTGTTCCGTTCATCAGCCAAAGGCCATACATTTTGGCGACGAGGTTAAACTATTGCAATGCACCTTCCTACACTAAGTGGGAATATTCCTTCTGAGAAACCAACACCGCATACGTGAAACCGCTGGAAGCGCACTTTTTTGGATTATTTGGAGCTACTACCCGTCTTGCAACCAAACACGGTACTCTCAGAGAGCCACAAAATGAAATTACTGAGACCATTTCTGGGGGACGAAGGTCAGATATTTTGATGCCCTCCAGGTCGGTGAGAAGACGATAGTCAACAGCGTGTTAGAAGTCCTCAACGGGTTATGGGGTTTACGACTGAACACATACACTGCGTGGTATTCTTTCCCGACCTTGCGTCAAAACCCTGAAGAAAGTGTCGTTGATTTCATTGCGCGAATTCAGCGAGTCTTACCAGAGTGTCGGTATAGTGAAATCCCAGCTAAGAAGTTCGAAGAGGCGGTGGTTTTACGGCGCCTGATATCCGGTATCCGTAACGAACAGACTTGTGAAAGGCTGTTGTGGGAAGGTGAGACTACGATGAGCTTCGAGAAGGCCTGCAATATTGTTCGAACGCTGGAGAATGTCCATAAACAGTTAGCAGCTTTTTCCTCACAATCTCATACAGGCACAATCCAAGCAAGCGCCCGTAAAGATGTTGTCGCGAGACGGTGCGAATTGCCTTTTACCTGTTACCGATGTGGAAGTCAGCATGTATCAGTCGAGGAATGTCGTCATAAACAGAGTATCTGCCGCCAATGTGGAAAATTAGGGCACTTAGCCCGAGTTTGCCGATCTAAAGCTGGCACAACTGCGAAATCACGTTTTCCCAAGATGCGCATGAAGATCGTCTAGTCTTCAGACGAAGACCAGCTAAACACGATTTGGAACGCAACGTCGAGCATCTGTAGCATTCACCCACCATACACTGTGCAATTGGAAATAGTAGGCCAGTTGGTTAAAACGGAAGTTGATACTGATCTCGCAGTTACCGTAATCAGTGCTGCAACAGTTAAGAGATTACCCAAGTTATCTCCCTGTGAATCGACTTTACGGACGTAAACCGGACAACCAATACCAGTTCTGAGGAAACGTACTGTTCATATTAATTATCGTGGGGAGAAGCAAACCTTATATTCATATGATGTGACGAACGATTGTCCAACTTTACTCGGGCGCGACTGGATTAAATGCCATCCGGTTACGCAAGTGATGTGCATATCCATTAACCGGGGATTGGAGGTGCTCAAAAAATATTCCGACGTTTATGATGATAAACGGGAAATTGAACGGATAGCAGGCTAGTATCAAATTATGGCCGGGAACTCAGCCCCGATTTTTCAGGGCACGTACCTCAATTTATTTCCTGAGATCAAAAGTGGAAGACGAGATAAAGAGATTGCAATCAGCAGGAACAATCGAGCCAGTGCAATACAGTGGGTGAGGAGCTCCGATTTTCCAGTTCTGAAGCCAGATGGTTCTGTGCGTATTTGTGGTGACTATAAACTAATTGTTAATCGTTGTTTACTTCTGGATAATTATTCACTACGTCGGATAGAAGATCTGCAGGCTACGCTGACAGGCAGATAAAAGTTTACACAGGTCGACCTCAGTCACGTGTACTTACAAATTGTGTTAGATGAGACCTCTCTCATGCGCTACGATAAGCACACACATGGGTCTATTCCAGTACAAACGTCTGTCCTTCGGAATCAGTTGGCCGAAGCAATATTCCAAAGATTACTGACAACCTGATCAAAGCTACTTCTTTCACTTATGCCTACCTTGACGACATTCTGAGTACAGGATGTACAGATGCTGAACGTTTACAAATGCTACCCCCTGTGCTCGAACGTCTACAACAGAGTGGACTCAAGGTGAAGTAGTCCAAGAGTACATTTATCTCAGATTCCGTTCATTAGTTTGGTTACCGCCTCGATAAAAACGGATTACACGTTTTAGAAGACAAAGTCAAGCCCAACCTTGAAGCACTTGAATTCAAGAATGATGCTGAACTCCAATCGCCTTTAGGAATGTTTTCTCACTATCGTCGCTTCTTATCTAACGCCTCAACAGTAGTTGCACCCTTGTACGAACTGTTGCACAAAGGGAAGTCCTGGACTTGGGGTCCGGATCAAAGAAAGACCTTCAAAGATGCAAAAAGAGTGCTCAGTGCCTCGTGCATTTCGATCCGAGCCGGCCTCTAGTGCTGCAGGGTGATACTTCCCCACGCGGAGTAGGTGCAGTCCTTTGCCACCGGATGGATAACGATTCTCCTGGTCCAATCGCTTTTAATTCCCGTACCCTGCAACCTGCTGAAAGGAATTACTCCCAAATGGGCAAAGAGGCTTTAGCGATTATTTTCGGAATCAAGCATTTCCATCAGTATGTCTGGGGAAGAGATTTGATATCCACACCGACCCTAAACCACTTCGTTCGCTTCTGTGTGAGGAGAAAGGAATCCAACAGATGTTTTCGCCTCGAATGCAATAATGGGCATTACTTTTGAGCGCCTCAAACTACAAACTTCAATATGTAAACCGACCAAGTAATACCATTGCCGAGGCACTTAGTCGTCTCCCGCAGCAGCATGACATAAAAATGATTAGTGAACTCATGACGTTTACCAAGTTTATGCAACACCTTGAGAAAACACCCATCCGGAGTGACGTGGTGCGGCGCCTGACGGACCGGGACCCTGTGTTGTCGATGGTGAAATGGGTTCTTGATGACCGGATGGCCTACAATCACGTCTGACAAACTGAAACCATTCGCCTGGCGGAGTAATGAGTTGGGTCTATACGACGGGTGAATATTTCGAGGCTCGCGCATAGTTCCACCAGAAGAAGTACGGCCCCAGTTACTGAGAGCTGCAAGATGCACACCCAGCGTGAATAGGATGAAGCCGCTGGCAAGTGGTTACTGTTGGTGACCGAACATTGAGCAGGATATAGAGCGACTGCTGTCAGAAACATCAAAGTCAAAAATCTGCCGGACCGATACGTCCACGACGTTGGCCGAAGAGGCCCTGGCAGCGGGTACTCGCGGATTACTTTCGCCCAACCAATGGGATGAGGCGTCTACTTTTGATTGGTGCGCATTCTAAATGGATAGAAGTACATCTAGTTGCACATGAGAATTCTGCAGCAACAGTTGCAAAAATGCTCCACACATTCGCCATTTTCGGTATCCCAGAGACGGTATGCACCGACAACAGAACCCCATTGATCAGTGAAGAGTTTGAACAGTTCCTGAGTAACCACGGAATACAACACATTAAGTCTGCGCCGTACCATCTCGCGTCGAATGGAATGGCAGAACGTGCAGTCCAGACTGTTAAGCAAGGTCTCCTCAAGCAGACTCATGGAACTCTACAAACTAAGTTGGATCGTCTCTTGTTCTCTTACCGCACGACACCGACTGAGTCGACAGGGAAGTCACCCGCGGAATTAATGTTTGGTCACCCACTACGAACGCAACTGCGCCTACGTTTTCCGAACCCTCGAAGGAGAAGGGAGGAAAAGCAGGAGAAAATGTGTGTGGATGAAAAGATGCCAAAGGAATTGTGTCTTAATGATTTTGATCCGGTATACACAAGACTGCCTCACGAAACAAGCTGGCAACCTGATACACTCATGTCCTTAACGAGTAACCAAGCGAACTTACAGCTGGAAGACGGCCGTATGGTGCGTCGCCATTTTGAACATAACCGGTCACGCTCAAACGAACCGCATGAGCGGTATCAAAAAGCCACTGCTACTGACCCAAAAACGGACGGAGAATATGCTTCACAAAACCAGGAACCACAAACGGATGCGGTACAACCACAATTAAGACGCTCAAAACTCACGCCTAAGTCAATTGATCGGTATCAACCCGGAGTCTGCAGTCTTGACCAAGGAAGAGAGGGGTGTCATATATGCACTTGAGTATCGTTTCGTGAACACAGGCACTCACATGATTTGTTGACAATGACCTTGTCTTACTTTCCTTATTTCATTGGTTTTTGTTTCCAGCTTTCTAACCACTGTAACGCAGGACGCTTTTAGTAAATCGGTTCCGTACTACACGTGCGCGTTCTGTTCCATTCATCGGCTAAAGGCCATACTTACCAGTGACTCTTCAACACTCATACTTTAGGAATAAAAACGCGACAGACTTCTCGAGTAACTCATCGGTGGAGAATCGGCTGAGTCAAATAACAATGATTCAAGCACCCATGCTTGCGGTAAATCTGGCATTCTTGAGTAACAGCATATAAAAAGAATTTAACAAAAGAGTGAGAAGAAGGGAGAGAACGCCACATATTTTTTGGAGCACTAGTTGTGTGGATATAGTGAAGCACGCTATATTTATTTGAACTGCAACCTAATTTTGGATTAGATCTATCAGTTAGAGTACTGAATGCATATCTAAACCAAGCGGCTGCATGCGTTGCCTTCACCAAACCCTGCACTCTACGACCAATTACGGCCTTGTCCCTGATCTTTAATTTCAATCTTATCATCTGTCGGTGGGGTCTTCAAACTGGTTTCTGCTTTTCTCATTGAGAAATCATTTTTACTCTAGCTATTGCGGATTTATCCAATCCATAAAACTGCCATTTTGTTTAACTGGACTATTTTGCTGACCTCGATGTTGTCCTATTCTGTCAATATTTTGAAATCTCTCCTGGATACTGCTCTACATACGCGTATCGTTCATTAAACCCACAAAGTCAGAAATACCTTCAAATGAGTGAGAAAATGCTGGGAAATTGAAAAAACACCGTGCTGACTGGCATATCGGTCTTAGGTGTTTTTAGTCGACAAGACACAAATACCACTGGTCCTAACCAGGAATGTCCGATTGCTCCTGGGAAAATTAATGGATCTTACTGCTGCTATATAACAATGAATGTTCCAATGCAACCATTTTGATGCTTCAAGGAAGCCGGTTACATCCTGATGTAGAAAATGTTATTTAACTTGCTGATTACCTTCCCACCAGAACCGACCGCCCCGAAATGCGTCAAAATCGTTGTCGTGTCAGTTACGTTCATCAAGGCTGGTATACCTCGGTAGCCATATTTGCTGACCTATTCAACAGTCACAGTCAGCTGTCATTTGGCTGAGTGTAGGCCAAAGCTTTTGAGTTCATTTATTGGAAATGTATACAAAGCCCTCGACATACTGAGTTAAAAAGTTTTGCAGATGACCTATCATCGGTGTTACTGTCGAATAGTAACCACTCAATCCGTGTCCTTGCCGTGGACTGCAATAAAAAGGATAACAAATGCATCCAAGCACTTGATTTGATTAACATAGTGACCCTCTTAACAAGACTAGAAGCGTAATAAGATTTCGTCTTCGCGAACCATGCCTGCGCAAGATGCACAATAAAAGTGTGCCCCGTCGTTTACGATACGACTCACTGCGTTTCATTTGTTAATAAGTAACCATCAGGCGACGAGACTGTTGAGCATCCAATAGTGCGGGATTCCAGGAAATGGTATTTTTTACCGATTGTACAGTTTCAGCAACGAAGATCACTGTTCAATGTAAACACCTCACTAATTATGTCCACCTTTGCTTCGACCTGTGCTTCCCAGCCGAAACAATCATTCAAATAAGTTAGAAGGAACAAAGAACGGGGCTATAAATGTAAAATGGCTGCCCTTGTTAAATAACTGTTTGTAGCAATAAAAATCCAGATTTTACGACGGAATACTTTATCCGTCGATGCCGCTTTATGCAACTACAACTGCCGAAACCTGTGGGGACTTTCAGGACAGCGATGCGGTAAAAACTCCGGTAAACAGCTTGGTTCAGTGTGTGTAGAGAAATTCCGTTGTGAGTTCCGTACTTCCTCAGGAAACATCCTCCTCCCCTTTACTCTATTTGCCTTTGTTTTCTGGCTCTGGTTCAAAAATCCACTCCAACCCGTCGCTCTGCCGTGAACGCAAGCAACTGAATTAAAGGAAGGCTAGTGGGCTCGTTACTCTCTCGCCAATTGTATTGAGAGAGTGTGCCGATACCCTAACCATGCGAAAAAGCATCAAAAGTACGCCAGTATACAGTACCGATGCTTCACTGCCGTGCAACCACCAAAAGTCGCACGTGGACAGGCTCGAACCCGCGTCGTCAGATTACAAGGCCTGTGATCCTCTAGGCTGCAGTCGACATACCCTCACCATGTCCGTGACATATCTTTTTGATCGATGCCTAGATGATAGTGTTATTCCCGACATTTGGAAGTCTGTCAGGCTAGCGCTCATGCAAAAGAAGGAGTCCCTGAAATTCCGTCCAATCGCCTGTACGTCCATCATGCTGGAAGTCTTAGAACCACTACTTATACCTTGGATCCCAACAAATACTCCATCTGTGTGCATGTCTCTGGAAATTATTTAGTATACCTGTAGCTCGGCGTGTGAATGGCAGGGTTGTCCTGTTCTCCGAGCTATATTTCTGTTGCACAAGCTTTGTTACCAAGCTGGGTAACATCCTCAGCGCGGTTGTCGAGTCCTGATTCGCGCAGTCTCGAAAACCGATGCCAGATCTGAGTGGCTATTTGTTGTTTGCGATGTATCAGAATACTAATAGTTCGGGTTGAGTTGGTCTGGTTTTCGTTTGTTCTCCGAGCTGAGTAATTGCGCTGCAGATATTTCGTCACCAGTTGTGATGATATCGTCAGTGCCTCACTGCTTAGCGTACAAGCTTGTTGAGTGCGTCGTCGGCTCTTGATCGATGGGTTTCTAGTACGCTAAGCAATGAGGCACGGACCATGTCACCTTGACTAGTGACGAAACGTCTGCAGCAAAATTACTCAGCTCGGAGAAAAAACGAAAATCAGGTTATTTATTGTCATACTTTGAATGTCAGCCGTCGATTGGCTGTGAGCCGGCCGAGTGATCATGTCTTCTTCCTACCGATCTGATGCCTATTGCTGACTTAACCTGCACAGCTCCGTAGACGTCCTCTAGCTCCAAGCGCTTGTTGATTGTTCCGACCAGAATGCCAGGCCGTGATGAACTCAAACGGATTGCGGTTCATTCCCTTCCAGGTATCTCGACGCTGTCCAGATAGAACTGATGATCCTCGGCATCCATATGTATTGATATTATCGATTTCCAATCAGGGCGGCAGGTGACCAGACGACGTTCCTGTAGCCTTGTGCCAAGTTTTCTTCCTATCTTGCCCGTATAGTATTTGTCAGGAAATATTGCAAAACACAACGGATACTTTTTCTGTAATCAGTTAACTTTTACCTTGAAATGTTTGCGTTGAACAGTTTCCGTTTACGTACAGACCCCGACGTGCCACGTCAAATGCTACAGCATACCTTCTTCACTCAATAGCGTTTAAGTTGGATGCGAAATCCAAAATTGTTGAACTTCTCCTTCTTGAATACTCCAACGACTTTGGTAGTGTCGACAGGTCAATCCTGTCTAAACACCTGCCTGCTAATGGTGCTCAATCAGCAATGTGCAAACGGATGAGTAATGACTTCATAAATCACCCTTATTTCACACAGATAAACGGCAAAAAACACTATCCGCGACATAGCTTTCGCTTTCTTCGGCATTGACAAAAATGACTTTGGAAACATGATTGCTCACATCATACCCAGTTCATCTACGGTTACTAAATGCTTTGGTGTGTATAAAAAAACAAATAAGCGGAATATTCCTCGACGGTGCGAGCCACGGCCCGAGTGGTTTGATCGTTAGTTAGTTCACAATTTATCATGGTCAACAAACGTTGACGAAACATTCCGCAAAGTGCGAAAATTATCGTTGTATGCACTAAGACTTAAAGTGCTTTTACTATCCTGATTTTTGATTTCTGACTGCCTTTATTCTTCTTCATTGGTTATATTGTCCACAAACCATCTTTCCGGATCTCCTACAAGACCTCATACTGGTTCTGCATTTGATTAAGCCTATTTGCAGGTTTATTAGGTTGCCCAAAGAGTCTGGTTAACTTCATCATCACTAAGCATTTTGGTGCAATAACCTTTCATATAAGGTTTTAAATGGACCTCCACAACTCCTTCAAAAGGATTAATCAGAAGTCCTCTCCAGTTCATTCACCCGCTCTAAATTGAGTTCAGATTTCTCCCACAAATAATCTCTAACTTCCCGTATTCACCCCGTCTTCTTGTGCACTCCAAGCAACGTATCAGCACCAAGCGTGCACGATTACTTCAGTGATGTGCATACACCTTATGAGAAGAAATTCGCGTCCGCATTACACCTCAGCAGACCCATGGTGTGGGTCTAGAGAGAATGTTCCCATACAGCAGGTTGGCCATTCACGCCCATATAACGTGAGCACGATGTTGATGATTGCCTCACTGCTGAACCCTGAGGTTTGCGAAGAATGGCAGAGACCACCACCACCAAACGACTTTGTTAACGAATGTGGAGCGCCGCCCAGTGTGGGCAGCAGCCCCGGTTGCAAAGATTTTGCTGCCGGAATGTCTTGATAACCATTCCGCCGGAGCCCGAAGGCCACGGTGCCACGCGCGACAGCAGCCCTTTTTGAGCCAACGTGCACCAACAGTAGATGGTCGTAGTGACAACGTCTACATGTGACAATTCGGCTCATTTGCTCAGTAAAGGAAGAGTAAGATCATCGTAACTCGAAACTAAACAGTTGGTATTCGATGGCCCAGCAATGCAAATAACAACAATATTCGTCGATCGCTTCAGGCAAAAATGACTATTTTACCCCCGATAACAAACAACCACACTACTATTATAATCCTAAAGTAGTATGCAACGTTCTGCGAAATTGCCCACGGTGGAGGTAGAAACCCTTCACCGTGTGTCAGCAATAAAAGCCGCCGTGGATGTCGCTCAAGGCAAACAACTCATTATTAAAGTGCACCATGATGAAAACCCAGGATTAGTGTGTATGAGAGTGCTCGCTCGCAGCCTAGACATAGTGGATACAGGTGGCGAAAATAAATTTAGTGGCAACTTCGTATAGTTAAACATTGGTACATAGTGGTCTAATTGTCTCATTTTGACAACTTCGCCCACCTAAGAATCATCATATCATCGAGTGCGACTAACCTGGTAAAATACATTTGAGAATGGTGAACTTCAAATCAGTTCTAACCTAACCATAGTAGAACGAAGACAAACAGTGAAAGGGTTAATCGGTTTGTAGAAATGGAAGCAATGACTGGCAACTAGAAGGAGAGGAGTAGGTATGAAAACGCCACCAATTTACGAAATGGGTCATATCAGGTGGGATTCAAAGACACCGAACAATTCATCTCGATGGATCGAGTTAGTACCAGCTGAAAGGTAACACTTCGCTTAAGCAGCAATGACATCCGCAATCAATACATGCCGAAGTAAGAACACGGCATGCTGGTAACGGATATGAGATCAAGAAGATATGCAGTCAATTTCCAATCGCCGAATGGGAGACATAACCATTACGTAACCGATCATTCCACTGGATACGAGAGATCCTTTGTGGTTACCGATGGTCAGATATGACTTTCCATAAATTACAAACAAGCATTACTGTAACAGTGGACGTCTACAAAGTGATCCGAGCTGTGGGGATCACAAGACGCATAACGACTTCGATATCCCGAGTTGCAGACGTAGTTCTTTTGTTGGATAACTGATACACTGGGGGCATTTCGAGAGGTTATCCGGTGGCAATGAGAATTCACAATATCAACAACATTATTATGCTGGAAGCTGCAAGCCATCCACAGAACTTGAAGAGTTCGCATATCATCGGGAGAATATCACTTTAGACAGATACCCCGTTGTACGCACTATGCTTTCCAGTCGGTCCGACTGGCAAAAAGTCCGCTCCAAAGGGTGTAGCACATGCAGAATCGTCCATCTTCCTTTTATGCTCCTTCCGAGTTACTCCGAAAACCGTTTCCTACTGATCTTATCATGACCACGAAATTAAAGTGGGAACACGCACAGTCGCTGTGCTGAAAGTTCCTAGCTCGTGGAGCCAAGTACTCTCCTCTGTACAGTTCGTAATTGCCATGACAGTGGAGAATCAGCCAGGCTATATCGTGAGCAACTGTCAGTCATGAAGGTTTGCGGCCGTCCCTCTGACTTAGTGGCACTAGATGTCAGCAGTCAGAAGTCAAAGTGTAGGAATCCGCCAGGGTTCCGAGGAAGGCGCACCAATGACGCAACAAAGAAGGTCGAAACATCGCTGTCTGATGTTTTACCAAACGTGTCTAAGCCGCCTGACTGAGATGGAACTGCGATGTTCGGCAATGGACAATGACACTGTTGTATCTGCACGTACACTAGTCCCCTGCACGCAGGGTCTTGAACAAGCACGACCAAAGCCCCGAAAGAGGAAGCAGAACTCTACTGGTACGCAACACAAACTTCTATTCACGCCCACCGTACATACACTCAGTACATTCAAAACAACCCTGGTATTGATCGCGAACGGACGGGCATCCAATCACAAGCTACGAAGTGCGGTCGTGGTAAGGCCCGCGCGTACACGCTACCACACTACTCCCCCTCTCCAGCGGTTGGTTCACTGCGGTGTCCCTCGCTTCAGGACACTGCTTCGGTTGAAGTGCTGAATATAGCTGTCTGGCGTTGACTCGTCGGCCGTCTGCTAACTCATAAGTTCCTGGCCCTAGCGCACGAGTAATTCTGATGGGTCTCGTCAGTGCCGGTTCTCCTTTTCGTGTTTGCCTGTCCTTTATCCTGACCAACGTTCCAGGACGCGGCGATGTGGCCCATTTTTCGTAGGATGACTAATAACCCCGGCGACGTTCCAGTTGGTGGGGGTCGTTGTTTTCTGCAGCCGAAATAGCTGCGTTTAATTTCGTACGCAACATCCTGCCAAACATCAGCTCACCTGGCGTGCGATCAGTCGCTCTGTGGTGCGATGTTCGGTGAGTAAACAGAGCCTCCAAAACGGCATCTTCCCACTGCGTGCCGGACAAACGTGCTGTCTGTATAGTTTCCTTTAGCGTGCGATTAGTGCGCTCAACCATGCCGTTGGCAGCTGGGTTGTACGGGACAGTATGTACGTGCTTCACATCACGAAGTTGTAAGAAACGTTTAAACTCATAGTTCGTGAATTGTGGTCCGTTGTCTGTCACAATTTCCTCAGGAAACCCAAATCTAGCAAACAGATGTTTCAGCCACCGTATAACGGTTGAGGTGGTCACATCGCCACACAAATGGATTTCCGGCCACTTACTGTTATAGCACGTGGCAACTAAGCAGTTCCTCTGGTGCTGTGGCGCAGAATGAAACGGTCCCATGATGTCAATCGCCACCTTCGACCAAGGTTTCATTGGATAAGTAACAGGTTGGATGGGGGCATCGATTAGTTTGGAGCTCTTGTCGGCCTTCTGACATGCATCGCAAGACCGGACACACGCTTCTGCAATTTTATTCATTTTTGGCCACCAAAAGTATTCTTGAAGTCGGCGCTTCGTCCGTACGCTACCCGGATGTCCCTCGTGTGCACATTGGATAATTTTTGATGTCAATTTCTGTGGAGCTACGAATCGCGATCCTCGCATAAGGCAATCATCAACGACCGCTAGCTCATGTCGTAAAACATAAAACGCCCGTAGTTCACCACTCAACTTCGTGTAGCGAGGCCAGCCTTGAGAGAGATAGTGAACGACATCTTGCACATATGAATCACTCCAGTTAGCTTCTTGAAGCTCTTGTTTAGTAACCGCGGAGAGCTCACTTGATTGTAAAGCAGAAATCATGACTTTTTCTTCGTCGTCTTCATTCTTGTCGGAATCATCCAATGGGAGACGTGATAAGCTATCTGCCATACGGTTCTCGGAGCTAGGGTGGAAGATGATTGGAAAATCATAGTTCAGTAACCGCGCATACCAGCGGTTAATCCGTAGTGGCCTGTGATCATTCGTTCCTCGGCTGAGGAGGGTAGTTAGAGCAGCATGATCCGTGCAAAATGTAAATCTCCGACCAAACAGAAACAGGTGCCATTTTTCACAGGCCCATACACAGGCAAGGACCTCCCTTTCACCTGCGGAATATGAAACTTCAGTAGGGGATAACTTTCTAGAAGCATATGCAATCACTTTTTCCTCACCGTTCTGAATTTGAGACAAGACCGCTCCTAAACCGATGTTTGACGCATCCGTTGAGACGAATGTTGGGCAGTTTTCGTCGAAAATCGCCAGCATTGGGGTGGAGACGAGGCGTCTTTTAATTTCTTCAAAGGCCGACTGCTGCGAAGAGCCCCAATCGAACGTAGCTTTTTCTTTTGTCAGCATTCTCAATGGCTCCGCTATAGTTGCAAAATCGGGCAAATAGCGCAAGTTGTACGAGCATAAACCAAGAAAGTGCCTAACCTCGGATGTATTCTTCGGTACAGGGGCTTCCGTGATAGCTCGAGTATTAGCTGTGCATGGCCTAATTCCCCCAGCTTATAAGACGTACCCAAGAAACTCGACATCCGTAGCACAAAATATACACTTATCCAGGTTTAGCCGAAGATCTAGGCTCTCCAATCGCTGCAACACAGCGCGCAGCCTTGAGTCGTGCTCATCTCTTGATTTCCCGAAAACGCATATATCATCCATGTAAGCGATTTGTCCCGGTAGATCTGCTAGTGAGTGATTCATAAACTTCTGCCAAGCTGCTGGAGCGGAGCTAAGTCCCATCGGCAAGACTTTTTACTGGAATAGACCACTCGATGTTAGAAAAGCTGTAAGTGGTCTGGATTCTGGTGTCAATGGCATGTGGAAAAAGGCCTTCCTCAGGTCTAGTTTTGAGAAAAATCGCGCGCCAGTTATCTTGACCAACAACTCGTCAACTGTGAGAAGAACGAATTTTTCGACGACGATCTGACTGTTCAACGCTTTCAAGACGTTGCATATGCGCACAGTACCGTCCTTCTTTAACACCGTGACCATGGGATGCACCCATTCGGAACAGTTAACTGGCTCTATCAAATCGTTGGAAATTATCTCTTGTATGGCCTTTTCTACCATCGTACGTTTGGCCAATGGAATAGGACGTGGCTGCGAAATCGAAAACGGTTTAGCGTCCTTTTTAAGGCATATTCGATGAGCAGCAGATGGAATCCGGCCAATCGACTCAGTAAATAATTTGGGATATAAGCTTTTAAGTACTGATGTTTTGAGTGTCATGATGCGCATTCGCTCGATAGATGGTGTTATGTTGAGGGCAACCATAGCATTTCGCCCCAGCAAGGCTGGACTGTTTTCGGAGGCAACATACACAGCAACATCAGATGCGACTGAGAGTAAACTGAGTTTCGTCATTATATATCCCCGAATTTGCACACGTGAATTTGTGTACGATTCGAATTTATACGACGTAGGATGTAATGGAATGTCTTGCAGGTAATTGTCGTAAATGCTGGACAGGATAATTGTTATCGGCGATGCCGAGTCTAGCTCCATAGTCACTGGTACAGAAGTGTTAAGACCATGGAGTGTAACGGTACGTATGTCAGGAGCAGGGAGCTTGGGTTCCAGCGAAGCAATTCGTCGTGTTTCTGGTTGTAATCGTCTTCTGATAGAAAAAACATTCGGTGTAGTCGGTGAGGTGGAAACATCATTTTGTTGGTCAATTAACGCGACTCGACGCGAGCGGCACCATCTGGCGAAGTGGCCCAGTTTACCACAGCTATTACACTCAGCTGTACGAGCCGGACATGTTTGACAGTCAGCTTTGTGGCGAGAACTCCCACATCTATAGCACGAAACAGTCGAATTCTGAGGTTGACTGGAACCCTTGTGCTGAATCTAACTGACTTCTAGTATATCACTCGACTTGAATAGGCTCGAATGTTCAACGGCGGCTTTTATTAGTCTTGCGATCTCTATGGCTCTCTCCCAGGTAAGTTTTAAAGGATCTTCGGAAAGTAGCTTTTCGCGTATACGATTATCCTTTATACCGGTTATCAACTGCTGCGTCAGCATAACACTCTCAAGTTTATTCTTCGGAATGCTAGTGTGGTCACAGGTTTTTACAGACCGAATTAAACGAGCGACAAATTGTTCCAGTGGCTCTGCATCTTATTGCCTCAAACAGCAGAACTTGTAGCGTTCAGCGA